CCAGAGGCCATATGACAACCACTGGGCCCTTTTGAAAATGCAACCAAAGACAATATACCAACTCAAGATCAGGATCCTTCTTTTGGCATGTCTATCCTGCTTCTACAGCGAGTGGCCTCAAATAAGCTCAAACCATTGTGTCCTATAATGGCCCATGCTCCTCTCTCCTACGTTAGGAAGCCCTTAAATTCTGAGAGTTCTGCATAGCCCACTTGATGCTTCAGAAGGATTCCTACCTCCCTGGATCTCAAAATGAGCCAGCGGACCACCTCATCAGATCTTTTCACAATCACAAGTGATCCATTCGCCTGGATGCAATAAACAATATCTTCAAACTATGGGAACTTCTTCAGATCAACTTGTTCATCAGGAAGTGCAACACAAAGTGCCTACAATTCTGCTCTTTCCTAAACCAGTCCAGGCTCACTGGCAGACATGTTCCTTCTTCAATGGAAAGATTGCCTCTTCGGATATGTCTACATAGCCAAGGGTATGTCTACACTACCCTCCTAGTTCGAACTAGGAGGGTAGTGTAGACATACCCTCAGTCACTTGCAAATGAAGCCCGGGATTTGAATTTCCCGGGCTTCATTTGCATAAGCAGGGCGCCGCCATTTTTAAAACCCCGCTCGTTCGAACCCCGTGCAGCGCGGCTACACGGGGCACGAACTAGGTAGTTCGAACTAGGCTTCCTAGTTCGAACTACCGTTACTCCTCATTCCACGACAACTAGAGTATCTATCATGCCTTGTAAGTGGCACACTGTTTAAATCCTGGGGATTTCTGCATAGTAGGAGACACCCAGAGCAAAAAGAGTAATCTAACTAATTCGAACTAAATTACAATATTAAAGCTATAAAAATGTACAATGTATATTTTTTTTAAATCTGGCAAGTAATGAAAACTGAAGCTAAAGAGGAGCTCTGTCTCTTCACATGGATGGTAAGAAGGAAATAAGAGAGAGGAAGCAGCCAGCAACCCCTTTTATATCCTCAGGTTGGAGGACAAGGATGGCAGGGATGCATGTACTATACAGTACTACAGTTGGCAAAATTTCTGACTAGAGTGCACTGGGCACACATACCCCTACAGTGGAATATATATGTGCATTATGATTCTAAGGAGAGTTTAACATTGCAGCAATAGGTTGTCTTAGAGGTTTTTTTTTGTTCTGTGTGTACATACATGTGGCTTGTATGCTACATATTGTTGTTCATGAAAGGCAATCTTTTCAACACAAAAGATAATCAATAGCCTTAATATATTACTATGCTAATTTGTATGTATGGATAGTTTATACGTACTTAGATTTTCCTTTGACAGGAAGTCATCTGAAACCATTGTTTCAAGAGAGCATCTTAGCATACTTTTCCTAGAAAAAGATTTTAGCATATTTAATACAAGTTACAAATGATGCATAACAAAAGCCCATTTTAAAATATAATATTTATTCCTACAACATTTTTCTAGGTTCTTTTTCATAAGAGGTAGTTGCCACATACTGATTTGTGGAAAATACCTTTCTAATTCATATCCTGACAGTAATATTTATTATAGCTACAATCCCATGTTTTTATTAAGAGTTTTGGTCCCAAGGTTTGGATAAGCAGTAAGAAGAAAAATGTTATAAGAAGCAATTTCTATTAAACCAAAATTTCTATTAGACCAAAAAGTCAAATTTAGACACAAAAAGAGCCAAATTTTCAAACTCTGACTCACAAAAATTTTCCAGGCTAAATTTAGATAATATAGATATCCAAGTACCTTCCCGCAAATCAGGTTACTGCAATATTTAAGTGACCTAATTGTGTGTCTATACAAATACACCACTTTTATTATTTGTATCTGCATAATTGCAGGAACAAAAATGAAAGCCTGCTGAAAATCTAGCCAATTATCACTAACAAATTATTTAGCAAGGTAAGTAGCAGTGAATTTGTGAAAGACAACTGAAATCATGCTTAGCAATATTTCTAAGCTCTGAAAAAATAGCATATATATTTCTTTCTTGATGGTCCTCCTGAATTCTCCACAAACATATTACCCTTGGTTTACATATCTCCCATCTGATGAAACCTTCTAGTTACAGAGGGCTAAATGCCTTCTTTTCATCAATGCTCTTGCATTGACTTGGTTCTTTTTACAAAAAACAGGACTATGTAGCACTTTAAAGACTAACAAGATGGTTCATTAGGTGATGAGCTTTCATGGGCCAGACCCACTTCCTCAAATCAAATAGTGGAAGAAAATTGTCACAACCATATATACCAAAGGATACAATTAAAAAAATGAACACATATGAAAAGGACAAATCAAATTTCAGAACAGAAGAGGGATTGGGGGGAGGTAAATGTCTGTGAGCTAATGATATTAGAGGTGATAATTGGGGAAGCTATCTTTGTAATGGGTAAGATAATTGATGTCTTTATTCAAACTTAGGTGTAAAGTGTCAAATTTAAGCATGAATGACAGTTCAGAGGATTCTCTTTCAAGTGTAGTCTTAAAAGGTCTTTGAAGCAGGATGAAGGTAATCGTTGAGACAATGTCCTTTCTGGTTGAAATGGCAAGAAACTGTTTTTTCTTTGTGATCCTGTCTAATATCTGTTTTGTGGGCATTGATTCTTTGGTGAAGTATCCGAGACGTTTGTCCAATGTACATAGCAGGCGGACACTTTCGGCAGATGATATCATAAATTATATTTCTGGATGAGCAGGAATATGTGTTCTTGATCTTACAACTCACTTGGTTAGGTCTTTTTAGTGAGATAAAGTGGATAATCCTTCTACTCCAGCACCCATATCCTCTGAAATGATAGAAGCAGTCTTTCATAATATCCTGATATACTAATCATGGTGCTACCACGCCTTTGGAAAGTAATTAATTACTCAGTAAAAACATTTTAAAAGAACCCAAATCTTACTTTCTATTTTGTCCAATTCCATTTCTATTTTTCCTGAAAACTTGATTTTTCTGAGCTTTTATCTGAGATACAAAAAAATTAGAAAACTTTGTAAGTAGTAATATGATTTTACATTTTAAATTAATTTGTTTATATATTAGTACATTCTCTAACTAAATGAACTTTTATAGGAAATTTAAACTTGTAAATACAAATATGAAAAATTACTTATCAAAACACTTTTAAAATCAATTAAACAATTATAACAGCTCAAGTGATATTCTGTAGATCGCTTAGCTGGACTCAGACTTTTATTACTATACTTAATATTAGTGAGCTTCTTCTTTGACTTTTGTAGTTTGGTTTAATAAGACAGATATGTCACATGTTTTAGGCAAATATATATGTAACCCCAACAGACCCCAGTTTTCTACAGTCACAATCGAACCTAGGATCTCAGTGCATGAGCCTATACTGCATGAGCTAAACGTCAACTCTTAGCAGAGGCTGTAGAGCAGACTCATTATTCTCTCTTTAAGTGATTTCATAGCCACTAGACAGGACAGTAATCCACTCCCAGAAGATGTGAGTTACATATACACAATTTATTTTAAAAATGCCTTGTATTATGTACAGTGTATGTTTTATGTGTATGAATAAGGTGAAAAAACAATGCTAGATTAATCCATCCTAAAGTACTATTGAAAGAATAATTAAACTATCATCTCAAAAAAGATAATATATGTTCTTAATCAAGATTTTTTTTTAAATACCAGTAAATGATGATAAAAGAAAAGGGAAAATAACTAACTTTGTGCAATAACGGAGGCTCTTAAAGATAGCTGTCCCTGCAGGTGCTTCACCATAGGTCTTGAGGCACCACTGCACACCTTGTCAGAGATTTACAGTAGGAGTGCCCTCCAGTGGGCTGCGCAGGCGACGAAGGTGACACACACGGTGCTGCTACCATGCATGCGTGTCCAACCATCCCTTCAGTTCCTTTTCTGCCCCGGAAGGACAACAATGAATCTGAAGCAGAAGGGAGGGAGGACGAGTGGTGAAGCACCCACAGGGAAAAGCATCTTGAAGAACCTCCGTTACTGCACAAAGTGAGTAACCTTCTCTTCTTTTTTGAGGAGTGTCCCTGTGGGTGCTCCACCTTAGGTGACTATATAGCAGTACCCATAATAGGAGGTGGGTGCTTTGGCTAAATGCTGTGTTGAGCTTTGGTGAGGACTGTGTGTCCGAATTTAGTGCACCCTTTCAGGTAAGCCTCCAGGGTATAATGTCTGACGAAGGTGTGTGCAGTAGACCAGGTTGCAGCTCTGCAAATATCCATGAGATGAATACTGATGAGGTAGGCTGTAGAGGTTGCAATGGTCCTTGTGGAGTGTGCATGTAATTGGAGTGGTGGCTCCTGATTAAAGCTGGCATAAGCCAGGAGGATGCAGTCTACAATCCATCTGAAAAGTGTCTGCGTAGAGATTTGCATGCCCAAGGATCTTTCAGCAATGGAGACAAAAAGTCTATTAGATTTATGAATTGACCTTGTCCTTTCCAAATAGAAGGCAATAGCGTGGCACACATCAAGCATGTGCCATTTAGGTTGCTTGGCAGTGGCAAGAGGCTTTGGACAGAAGACGGGTAACACCAGAGGTTCGTTGCAATGCCAGGAGGTAAGTATATTTGGTAAGAACTTCGGATGTGATCGCAGAACCACCCTGTCCTTATGAAATACAGTGAAGGCTGGGTCAGCCATTAGAGCTCCAATTTCACTCACCCTTCTGGCTGACATAAGCATGACTAACAGAGCAACCTTCATTGAGAGGTACAAAATTGAACATGTAGCCATAGGCTCAAATGGCTAAGAGCTTGTAATACGAGGTTTAGGTCCCAGATTAGTACTGGTGTTCTAACAGGTGGGAAGGTGTTTTGAATGCCCTTTAAGAAGTGTTTAGGAGTGGGGTGGGCAAAGACCAATTTCTCTTTGATGGATTAGTGGAATGCAGTAATGGTTGTGAGGTGTACCTTTAATGAGCTGAACAAGAGACCTGTATGTTTTAGGTGTAAAGGATACTGTAATATATCACCCAGTGGAATCATAGATGGATCTGTTGATCTTTGGCTTGCCCAGAAAGAGAATCTTTGTCACCTTTATAGGTAGGATTTTCTTGTTGTAACTCTGTAAGGGTATGTTTACACTACAAAGTTAGTTCGAACTAACGGACATTAGTTCGAACTAACTTTAATAGGCGCTACACTAGCGCTCTGCTAGTTCGAATTTAAATCGAACTAGCGGAGCGCTTAGTTCGAACTAGGTAAACCTCATTTTATGAGGATTAAGCCTAGTTCGAACTAGCTAGTTCGAATTAAGGGGTGTGTAGCCCCTTAATTCGAACTAGTGGGAGGCTAGCCCTCCCCAGGTTTCCCTGGTGGCTACTCTGGCCAACACCAGGGAAACTCTATGCCCCCTTCCCGGCCCCCTTAAAGGGGCACGGGCTGGCTACGGTGCCCGTGCCAGGTGCAAGCCT